ACACAATGAGAGCCACTAAAAAATAACACAAAAAACTGATCAAAAACTGATAGTGGGCCCTCAAAATATACAATTTTAAACATACACTCTTTTATGACTACTAACCCCTAACCCTAGACTGAGAACTACTCATTATAAAACCCCACAAGACCACTCATTAGGTGCCATAAAAATATGCAATGTTAAAAAAGACACACACACACAAAAGACCACTAATTAGAAAATACACAATAGGACAAACATTTTGAGAACCATTCAAAATGAGAGCCACCAAGAATACTAATTTAAAAACTCATAGTAAAAAAATTAATTAAACAAGACCATGAATTTAAAAAATACACAATACAATTGATTAAATAAACAAGACCATTTGTTATTAAAAAAAACAACCAATATGAGTACTGACCCCCACACAATAAGAACCACTCAATTATTACTATTTTAAAACATTTAATTATACAATATCCATCAAAGGTTATACATGTATATACACAATTTTGAGAACCACTCTATATTAGATAGAAACTATTAAACACTACAAGACAATAAATTATTATAGGACTCGCCAACTATTACAGATTGACCAATTAAAATCCAATTAAACAACAAGACCAATTAATTAAAAAATACACAATAAAGGGTGATTATTAATTAAAAACAAATTTAAAAGTATCAGACGATTATGTACCCTTAATTAATCCTTATATTACTTTGCGCCGCTATACGCCACAATTTTCCTTACATTTTCTTTTCGCCGCCAAAACACAGCGTAAAATCTACATACTATACTACTGTTATAATTATTTTTTGGGTGACTTTTCTAAGGGAACTTAGAGCTGATGTCTTCTCTCAGGTTTAGCAAGAATTTATGAGAATGAGCTAGGACTACATAATTTTCTGATCATAATTGGTATAGGTTCACGTCTTATCTCATTATATCTATTGAAAAGTCTCTAAGCATTTAAAATACAATATTAAAGAAGACCGTAAATACATCATTATTAAAAGTCCCCACTTTGGGAAATACACTAGTCCTATATGATAACGAGATAAAATACGACTGTTTTTTAAATTATTATGATCGATGTGAATAATCTTCAATGCATTATAAGGAGGACGCGTCATCCTTGCATGTCGGGATATTGAGAAAGCCAAACTGGCCAGGGAAGAGATCTTGTCTGAGGTCTATGATGCGGAAGTTATCGTCATGAAACTCGACCTCGCATCTTTTGATTCCATTCGTTCTTTCTGCAAACAAGTCAACGAAAGTAAGTTAAGTAAAAAAAAAAAATTATAAAATCGAAAGTTGATTTTGTGTGTGGGTCACAGTGATCATTGGTAGCTTACCGACATTAAGTGATTGCAGTAATGTAGGAATGGAACGGTCAGTCCCCGGGTGGCCCTTTGAACTTGACATAAAAGGGTGACATTTTCGGCCAAAAGTTGTTGTTTTTTTCGTGGAAAGGGGACGGCCCTCTCTTTGGTGGAACTTTTAGCTACGTCACAGAGTGATTGTGTGCATTATTAAAAAAAAAATGTTATAATATAAATTTCCAGTGAATGTTGCATAATAATCTAAAAAAAGTTTATATATGATTACCGTAATTAGGGGCTCACTTGGGTTCTCACTAAGGACTTCACTTAGGACCTCACTTATGGCGTCACTTAGAGCCTAAAGTATGGCCTCACTTAGGGCCTGACTCTTGGAAAAAAAATCTTTTTTGTGTTGAGAGCTTTTCTTCCGCGAAAATAATAATAAATACAAGGACTGATGCGATGAAGATTGTGGGAGGGGGGAGGCAATTTCCCCACCCCCGATGTACATAGTGGGAAATTGATTGAATTCCTCGAATCTGCTCTTCGTGCAGATGAGCCACATGTCCACATTCTCATCAACAATGCAGGGATCATGATGTGTGACAGAATGTTGACAGAGAACGGCTTGGAGACGCAAATTGGCGTCAACCATTTTGGTGAGTACCGTGTTTTGGAAGATGCCCTCATTTAACCTTTCACCTTGCGATGACATTATTTATCTCTCCCTCTCTCTCTCTCTCTCTCTCTCTCTCTCTCTCTCCATATATATATATGTCTGCCCCGTGGTACCTTTCTAACTCTGTAACTCGTAGTCCAAGAAAAGTAAGTGCTAGGTGGAGGGGGGACAACAGCCCACCAACCAAATTGAAAGACAAACAGCCAACCTTGCGTGAGGTCAACAGTCAGGGTGTTGGCGTCGAACAATGTCTGTGGTCTAATCAGTTAGTCACCGCTAGTTCGCTAGTGGGAAACATTCAATGAAAAATATAAACATGTTCAGGCATCGCAGTAGGAAAATAAGCCAAGACAACCACATAGTTACTTTACCCGGTTTAGGCCTACTATCTCCAAACACAGCGGCTTCCCACCTTGGTTTTTTCCCCCTCCCGTACCCCTTGATTAGACTTTTCATTTCTGATTACCCCACCTCCCATTAAAAAAAAATCCCTTATCCCACAATCATCCCTAAAATATTTAAAAAGAGATCAGCTTAAGAACCATATCAAGGAGATAGAGGCAATGACATTTAAAGGCTTTTCATTTCTATTTCCAAAAATCAAATGACGTAGCTAAAGCGATTCTCCAAAATAAACTTTGCGACATTAATATTATCTGACTATGAAGCGGGGACACAGAATATTTTTATTCAAAAAAAAAAAAAAAAGAACTTCTACTAAAAGTGATTTTATACCACTAAATTTTTTTTTAAAATAATGTAACATTTCTTCAAATGATGATTAACGCGACAGTGTCAACCCACCGCTTTCGTTGACCCAGCATTAATCATTTATATTTCATTATTTGGCGGTATATTATCCCCCAAAAATGCATCCTAAAAATTAATTAGTCAATATTATTTGTGTGTACCCACAAATGGTTGGGAACCACTGTCCTTACATATGACAACAGATTCGTCGTAGGTTTGTTTTGTCCAGTAACTAATAAATGAGAAGTTCACGCATTATGGCTGCCATTGTTTGGGTGGGCTATAGCTATTGGTGGTAGTAATTCTGCGATGTAAAAGAGGATGGGACATTTGAATAATAATTTGTTTCGGGGGAAGGGGGGGGCGTAAAGCGGAAGGGGTAGCACTATTTTAAATCGCAGCTATGAATTATACAACAAATGATATCCTTAGGCCATTTTTTGCTGACCAAACTCCTGTTGGACAAGATGAAGCTATCTGCCCCTAGCCGCATCATCAACGTGTCCAGCGTCGGCCACAAACTGGGGGAGATCAACTTTGACGACCTCAACAGTGAGAAATCTTACAGTCGCTACGCCGCTTACTACCAAAGCAAGCTGGCCAACATTCTACACATGCGGGAACTAGCGCGGAGACTGGAAGGTACGGACACTTTTGGTCTGTGTTGTCATCAGTGGCTGGGGAAAGACTAGAAGGTACGGCCATTTTTGGTCTGTGCTGTCATCAGTGGCTGGGGAAAGACTAGAAGGTACGGCCATTTTTGGTCTGTGTTGCATTCAGTGGCTGGGGAAAGACTAGAAGGTACGGCCATTTTTGGTCTGTGTTGTCATCAGTGGCTGGGGAAAGGCTAGAAGGTACGGCCATTTTTGGTCTGTGTTGTGATCAGTGGCTGGGGAAAGACTAGAAGGTACGGCCATTTTTGGTCTGTGTTGTCATCAGTGGCTGGGGAAAGACTAGAAGGTACGGCCATTTTTGGTCTGTGTTGTATTCAGTGGCTGGGGAAAGACTAGAAGGTACGGCCATTTTTGGTCTGTGTTGTCATCAGTGGCTGGGGAAAGACTAGAAGGTACGGCCATTTTTGGTCTGTGTTGTCATCAGTGGCTGGGGAAAGGCTAGAAGGTACGGCCATTTTTGGTTTGTGTTGTAATCAGTGGCTGGGGAAAGACTAGAAGGTACGGCCATTTTTGTTCTATGTTGTAATCAGTGGCTGGGGAAAGGTTGGTGCCGCTAGGGGCGGGCCAAGATAGTTGCCAAGCCTCAAGGGGAAAAAAACAGCTTGCCAGAAATGCCGAGGCGGACCACAAAGAAAAACTATATTAAATTGAAATAAAAATACAAAATAAAATATACATAAATAAAAAGTATATTAACTTACAGCACGGTAAGTGATAAAGTATAATCCTAAAAAGGTGCAAATATTAGTATATACACACGCACACACACAGAGTAAAATCATGGAATGCTCCTATAAGTATATTAATATGTTTGGGAAACCTAGGAAATCTCTACCGGCTGGGAAAGCTAGCGGCTTATTTATAGAGAGTGAGTTGGAACCCTCCAGAAATGAAATTCTAAAAATGGTACCCCCCCCCACCATATCAATCTTTATAAAAGATTACAACGTAAAAAACACTTTCCCATTCAAGGGAGGGGAGGGTGTGGTAGCGCTAAACATTTAATCAGGGTCTTGAACCCTCCAAAAATGAAATTCTAAAAATGGTACCCCCCCCCCCCCATATCAATCTTTATAAAAGATTACAACGTAAAAAACACTTTCCCATTCAAGGGAGGGGAGGGTGTGGTAGCGCTAAACATTTAATCAGGGTCTTCAATGTCAAAACAGAACACGAGAAAGAGAAATGGTGGACGCGTTAGCTCTACGTTGAAACAAAATTAGGTCCGCACCCAGTCTACAACTGTGACTGTAAGACAGTAAGAATGACCGTTCGACTGACCAGCATTGTTGTCGCGTGTTCTGAAATACTTTGTGACCTGATTGTCCTGTGCTGTTGTCGTGTCTTCTGACTGGATGGGGTGGGTTGTTCTCATGGATGTCTAAACATAAATGTGTGATTGGTTGGATATTGGTTGGATAACTGGAGTGAGTGGTCATGTGATGTTGGGTAGAAAAAGAATGAAAAAAAAAAAATTAGAATAAAGTTAGTTATTATACTATTACACAGGCCACGTTGTCTTGAGTTCCTATCTTATTATACGATTGATATAACACCATAAATGAAACAATCTTCGTAGAGTTATGAAAGACTATTTTTGTTTCCTTGGCGTCTCAGGCACTGATGTCACCGTCAACAGTCTCCACCCAGGGATAATAGAAACCGATCTCTGGCAACATTTCCACACGATCATCACCCCGATAGGAGTCCTCGCGGGCATCGCTTTATTCAAAATGTTCGGCAAAACTCCACTCCAGGGGGCGCAGACAACAATCTACGCTGCAGTGGAACCTTCATTGCAATCTGTGACTAACAAATACTTCAGGTAAATGGGAACCTTCATATCTGTGACTTACAAGTACTTCAGGTAAATTTGAAGCTTCATATCTGTGACTAAGTACTTCAGGTAAATGTGAGCCTTCATAGCAATATGTACTTGGGGTAAATGTAAACGTTCATTCCAATATGTGACTAAAATAAGTACTTCAGGTAAATTGGAACATTCATATATGTCGTTAAAAAATACCTCAGGTAAATGGGAACCTTCATTGCACTCTATGACTTACAAGTACTTCTGGTAAATGTAAACCTTTACATCTGTGACCAACAAGTACTTCAAAGTAAAAAGATGAATCTCACACCTCATAATGGGGTGTTTAATTAAAAATTTAAAAAATCACACCCGTGATAGAGTCTTGCAGTATAACTAGAGTTCATGATTGGTAATCAAATCTCATAAATTAATATGCGGGGATACACTTCCCTTGAAGAAATAAATGAAGGACTGCGTTCAAGCTGTGTAGAGGAAACAGAAGAACAAGGTATGTCAAAGTTTGAAATAGAAAGGCATGACAGTCAAAGAAGAACGTTTCGGCCAAGAACCTTCCTCAGCAGACAAGACAAATAAAGAAAAGGAAAGGTGTTTTGTTTTTTAATTAAGTGGTCGCCGGCAATTATATGATTAAGACGACCACTTAAGTTTTTTTGTAAATCCTTACTATTTCTTGTTATTTCTTCATTCGTCCCGTCTGCTGAAGAAGGCTCTGAGCCGTAAAGTTTTTCTTTGATTTTCTTGTCTTTCTATTTCAAGTTTCCGCATACCTTGTTTTACTGGTTCTTTCCCTGTAGACTTTTTTTTTTCACTGTCACATTCCCAGCGACTGCCGAGAGGTGACCCCTTCCCAGCAAACCTTTGACGAGACTGCAGCCAAGAGGTTGTGGGACATCAGCGAAAGGATTACTCAAGATGGCATCAATCAGTCATGATCAGACTTGTCCATGTGTTATGTATGACGGGAAATCTTCAGACACTGATTGCTTTGTGTGCTACGTATTAGAAAATGTAATCAGACACCGATGACTTTGTGTGATGTATGGATGGATAAAAAGGATACTTGTTTACTAGAATACTACAATCACATTCCATCCGACAAATTCACTCCGCTCCAGGGGCGTAGGAAGAGAGGGGCGGTCCGCCCTGGGTGGCACCTTTTTTTCTTTATATGGAAGGGTGACATTTTCAGAGGGGGGGGGGGGGGGGGGTTAGGAAAAGAGAACGGCAAAAATATTGGACGTACCGGGTGGCACTAACCCTAGCTACGCCACTACCCCGCTCGCTCAAGTGTGATTGAAATATTCCAATCGCCGATAGATGAAATGAAGTCTCTGCGTCACTTAACAGCAATTAACGAAAGCAAATATTCTCTTGAGGGTTTGAGATTACTCTCTTACACCCCATGCGCTATCTTACATCGCATTGGAAGTCAACTCCATCTGCTGAGATGGGCCATTTTCTTCACGTAGGGCTCTCCCGCCACCCTGGCCTCCCCTGAAACCTCTAGTGAAGGGCACTCGGTCAACAGATGCGCTAGAGTTTCTGGGACCAAGCTGCAATGCCGACAGGTCGGGTCCCTTAACAACAACTAAACTGTTTCAACGTTTAACTGGGTTGGTAGTCGGAGTCATTCTGAAGTCCGGTTAAATCTCAAAAATGTTTAGCATTGATGATAGGCTGACTAGCAGACTTGATTACAGAAAATCAAAATGTATGTTTTCTAGTTTTGAGACCATTGGAAATATTCATGCTTTGTTTAGCCACTTAATCATACTTGATGATTTAAAGACACATGTTTTTGTTTCCGGTGTGAAAAAACAAATCTTCTTAACTTCAATTCATTTATCACGTGACTCAATGTTCTTTGACATGCACTCAAATTGTTCGTGTTTAAACCCCTGTGTTTGATTTGAATGAAGCTTGCGAGCGCTGAATGTTTTGGGTTGATGGCTTTGTTGGAGCTGATCAGTCAGAATAAAAGATAAGGAATGATTGACTTAGTTCAAGCTGCGTGAAGGAAATAGTCAAACACGGTATGTGGACGCTTGACACAGAAAGACAGGACAATAAAAGAAGATAGGTTTCGGCCAAGAGCCTTCCTCGGCAGACACGACAATAAAAGAAGATAGGTTTCGGCCAAGAGCCTTCCTCGGCAGACACGACAATAAAAGAAGATAGGTTTCGGCCAAGAGCCTTCCTCGGCAGACACGACAATAAAAGAAGATAGGTTTCGGCCAAGAGCCTTCCTCTGCAGACACGACAAATGAAGAATGTGCGCGTGCTTTATCATGAAGACGGTCACGTGAACTTTTTCCGTAGGATAAGCTCTACGGTAATCTGTCCACTTCAACTGCCCAGTTCTCGTCATCTGTCCACTACAACTGCCCAGTTCTCGTAATCTGTCCACTTCAACTGCCCAGTTCTCGTCATCTGTCCACTTCAACTGCCCAGTTCTCGTCATCTGTCCACTTCAACTGCCCAGTTCTCGTCATCTGTCCACTTCAACTGCCCAGTTTTCGTAATCTGTCCACTCCAACTGCCCAGTTCTCGTCATCTGTCCACTTCAACTGCCCAGTTTTCGTAATCTGTCCACTTCAACTGCCCTCGAAATATCCTTGGTGTTTCCTCAGTGCCTAGGAATACAAAATGAACAGAAAATATTACACAAGAGATTATCAAGGCGATGACAAAGGTGATTATTCAAGGGACAGACCTGACTTACTCAGCTCAACATTAGCTCATCAGAGTGACCTTATCTTAAACTGGCAAATAAGTAGCGTAACAAGATATGTTAAGGCTTTACAAAAAGAGACAGAAAAATGTAATGGATGTATCGGCTAAACGCCTTTTTCAGCAGACAATAAAAAAAAACTAGAACCACAAAAAACAATTTGAAGCTCTCCCACAGTGTAGCTCTCCCACAATGTGGCTCTTCACAATGTAGCTCTCCCACAATGTAGCTCTCCCACAATGTAGCTCTCTCACAATATAGCTCTCCCACAATATAGCTCGCTCACAATGTAGCTCTCCCATAATGTAACTCTCTCACAATGTAGCTCTCCCACAATGTAGCTAGCTCTCCCACAATGTAGCTCTGTCACAATGTAGCTATCCCACAATATAGCTCTGTCACAATGTAGCTCTCCCACAATGTAACTCTCCCACAATGTAGCTCTCCCACAATGTAGCCCTCTCACAATGTAGCTCTCTCACAATGTAGCTCTCCCACAATGTAGCTCTCTCACAATGTAGCTCTCCCACAATGTAACCCTCCCACAATGCAGCTCTACAAGTCTGTTGTTTTGTATTGTCTGCTAAATAAGGCTTGAACGCAATCACTCACATATTTGATCTGAACTGACCACTGACCACTGACCACTGCACTGGTTTAAACGTGAAATTCACGCTCGTGCTATGTTTATAGTCCAAGTTTGAAGACGTTATACCTCTTTCGTCACCACCTTCCAAAGTGGTTTTTTTTTCATATGTCCCCAGCTTCCAAGTGGATGTTTGTTTCATATGTCACCACCTATTTCAAGTGGATGTTTGTTTCATATGTCACCACCCATTTCAAGTGGATGTTTGTTTCATATGTCACCACCTATTCCAAGTGGATGTTTGTTTCATATGTCACCACCTATTCCAAGTGGATGTTTGTTTCATATGTCACCACCTATTTCAAGTGGATGTTTGTTTCATAATATGTCACCACCTATTTCAAGTGGATGTTTGTTTCATATGTCACCACCTATTTCAAGTGGATGTTTGTTTCATATGTCACCACCTATTTCAAGTGGATGTTTGTTTCATATGTCACCACCTATTCCAAGTGGATGTTTGTTTCATATGTCACCACCTATTCCAAGTGGATGTTTGTTTCATATGTCACCACCTATTCCAAGTGGATGTTTGTTTCATGTCACCACCTATTTCAAGTGGATGTTTGTTTCATATGTCACCACCTATTTCAAGTGGATGTTTGTTTCATATGTCACCACCTATTTCAAGTGGATGTTTGTTTCATATGTCACCACCTATTTCAAGTGGATGTTTGTTTCATGTTGTAAGAAGTTTTTTTTTTCTTCATTCGAGCCTGATCACCCTTGTAAAGTCTTTTGTACATAGACGTTAGCAGGAAGTTTTATGAAGCACGGAGGTTGTAGTTTCACAATAGCTACATTTTTTAACAACCCAGGGGAGTTATATTGTTAGTAACTCATCTTGGGACATGAAAACACCGCGACATCTTTAGTTTCTCTAGCGATTGTGGTTGTATTCCAGTAAAACTGTATTTGAGTTTTGCATTCTGTAGGTCGCAAATTCTAGTTTCGAAATATTCACTAGCCAATGTTTTTAACAACTGGTAATATGAGGTTAAAAAAAAAAAACGCTTACAATAAATGTTAAGGAGCAGGAACAGCGATGGGTGGAATATTGCAAGCAGCTTTTTAACAAACCAGGTCACCACGATACACCCGATATCCAGTCAGATCTAGAGAGATTTTGATACTAACTGCAACAGATCGACTAAAGGATCTAGAGAGATTTTGATACTGACTGCAACAGATCGACTAAAGGATCTAGCGAGATTTTGAAACTGACTGCAACAGATCGACTAAAGGATCTAGAGAGATTTTGATACTGACTGCACCAGATCGACTCAAGGATCTAGAGAGATTTTGAAACTGACTGCACCAGATCGACTAAAGGATCTAGAGAGATTTTGAAACTGACTGCACCAGATCGACTAAAGGATCTAGAGAGATTTTGAAACTGACTGCACCAGATCGACTAAAGGATCTAGAGAGATTTTGAAACTGACTGCACCAGATCGACTCAAGGATCTAGAGAGATTTTGAAACTGACTGCACCAGATCGACTCAAGGATCTAGAGAGATTTTGATACTGACTGCACCAGATCGACTCAAGGATCTAGAGAGATTTTGATACTGACTGCACCAGATCGACTCAAGGATCTAGAGAGATTTTGAAACTGACTGCACCAGATCGACTCAAGGATCTAGAGAGATTTTGAAACTGACTGCACCAGATCGACTCAAGGATCTAGAGAGATTTTGAAACTGACTGCACCAGATCGACTCAAGGATCTAGAGAGATTTTGAAACTGACTGCACCAGATCGACTCAAGGATCTAGAGAGATTTTGATACTGACTGCACCAGATCGACTCAAGGATCTAGAGAGATTTTGAAACTGTCTGCACCAGATCGACTCAAGGATCTAGAGAGATTTTGAAACTGACTTCACCAGATCGACTAAAGTAGAGATGCAAAATTTTAATTAAAAATTATTTTAAAATTATGTAAAATGTTCAGGAGCCGATAGAGTAGCTGCTGAGGCAATAAATGCAGACATTGAACAAACATACTCTGCAGCACGGAGAAATGCCCCAATGTTGGAGATGGTGTCATCTTGTAAAGCTTCCAAAGAAAGCTGATCCAACAGATTACACGTACAGAGGAATAATCTGTTACCAGTAGCTAGAAAAGTTTTAAAAAGCGTAATATAGGAAGCACATTTTTGTTTAACTACCAGATGAACAGGCAGGTTTTAGACAACATAAAATATGTCTGGACCAAATAACCACTCTTCGAAATAAAATTAAACACTGCGATATAAGAAGGCCAATATCTCTGTGGGAACTATTTCGTCACCTTCAGGTATAGACTGGGACACCTGGAAAAATCCCAGACTGGCACAGACCGCATTAAATGGGCCTACAGTGTCTGGACATCACGGTGCAAGAGAGAGCCCGGTCTTTACACCCCAGCCGATGTCTCTGCTTCTGCATGGTTGTTTACGTTAATTTAACCGTATTAATATTGCTTTTGATCTGAGACGGGAAAAGTAAAAAAATCTGGCCACACATCGACAGAAAAACAATATACTAATCGGATAGGGATTTTTAAAAA